ATTAACCGCTTTTTACAAGTTAGCGCTTACCCAGTACCCATCATTCAACATTTATTGCACACTTTTGAACCTGGCAACATTTTTGCCAAATTGGACATGTCACAAGCGTATCAACAGTTCCCTGTTGACAATCAAACAGCCGAACTTCAAACCATTGTCACCCACAGGGGTGCTTTCCGGTGCAAGCATCTCCAATTTGGCGTAAGTGTTGCTCCAGGCATTTTCCAATCCCTCATGGAGCGGATATTGCAGGACCTCCCTGGTGTAGTACCCTACTTCGACGACATTTTGGTCTCGGCCAGGGACAGACCCCAACTCTTCCAGAGAGTTCAAGCAGTGCTAGAGAGGTTCAGACAGCATGGCCTCAAGTTAAAAAAAGAAAAATGTGCCATTGCCACTAGACAGGTGGACTTTCTGGGTTATAAAATTGACGCCTCGGGCATTCACCCCCTGGAGTCCAAGGTTAAGGCAATTCACGAGGCACCCACACCAACCTCCAAAGCAGAACTGCAGGCCTTTTTAGGATTATTGAATTTTTACGCATCATTCCTACCCCACAAAGCATCAGTGGCAGAACCCCTGCACAGACTTTTGGATAAAAAATCATCTTGGCACTGGGGGCACAAGGAAGACACCGCTTTTCGCGCAGTCAAGTCACTACTCACTTCAGATGCAGTCCTTATTCAATTTGACCCTAACCTTCCATTAGTGCTGGCAGCTGACGCATCCCCTTTTGGAATTGGGGCAGTGTTAAGCCACAGGCTCCCCAATGGCTCCGAGGCCCCCATTGCCTTCTTTTCCAGGACGCTCTCTGCAACAGAGCGCAATTACAGTCAAATCGATAAGGAAGCTTTAGCAGCTGTCGCAGCAGTGAAGAAATTTCATGAATTTCTTTTTGGCCACTTTTTCGAGCTGGTCACGGATCATAAGCCTCTCCTGGGTCTCCTAGCAGGAGACAAACAGACTCCCCAAGTGCTGTCTCCCAGGATGATGAGGTGGACCCTTTTCCTAGCAGCATACTCGTATAAACTCATTCACCGTCCGGGAAAAACATTAATCCACGCAGACGCCCTCAGCCGCTGCCCCCTGCCTGCTCCAGCTGAAGACCCTGCCCCGGTCCACGCTATCTTCGAGGTCACCCAGCTTGACCTTCCCATCACTGCCCTTGACATCGCCTCCAAATCCAAGGCAGACAAAACGATCGCCCAGGTACTGGACTGGGTAGGGAGGGGGTGGCCCGGAAATAACATTGAAACCAAATTCACGCCTTTTAAGACCCGTCAACAGGAGTTATCGAGCTTGCAGGGCTGTTTACTATGGGGCACCCGAGTGGTCATCCCGACCTCACTGCGCACCCGAGTCTTGGAGGCACTACACGAGGGCCACCCTGGCATCGTCAGGATGAAGGCGTTGGCACGCAGCTACGTATGGTGGCCAGGCCTCGACGATGACATCATCAGATGGGTAAGCTCTTGCCATCCCTGCCAAGAATCCCGACCATCCCCTCCAATCGCCTCCCCCACTAAGTGGGAAAGCGCCAGTGCACTGTGGTCCAGGATTCACATTGACTTGGCGGGCCCGATTCACGGCAAAATGTTCCTGGTGGTCGTGGATTCTTACTCGAAGTGGATTGATGTGGCCCAACTATCCACGACCACCACACAAGCAGTTACTAAGGTGTTGACCCGCCTGTTCATAACACACGGGTTACCAGACTCGATTGTTTCCGACAATGGCCCCCAGTTTGCCTCAGCCGAGTTCAGTCGTTTCGCCGCTAACCTGGGCATTCGCCACATCTTCACGGCTCCCTTTCATCCTGCCAGCAACGGGTTGGCAGAGAGAGCCGTTAGGACCACTAAAGAAGCATTAGCCCGGTTCAGCAAGGAAGACTGGCACCACAGACTCTCACGCTTCTTGCTGAGCCAGCACTCAACCCCGTGCACAGTCACCAATAAATCACCGGCTGAACTCCTGATGGGTAGACGCCTGCGAACAGTGCTGGACAGGCTTCACCCTAATTACTGCCCTGACTCTCCCCTCGCTTCAACATCGGGGGTTAGACATTTTGTCTTACAGGAACCGGTGTTCACAAGGAACTACGCTGGGGACCCCTTGTGGATTCCAGGTGAGATCGTGGCCATCACTGGTCCCAGGTCGTACAGAGTCAGGCTGGAGGATGGTCGCATCTGGAAAAGGCACCTGGACCAGCTGCGGAGGCGCCATGGTACCTACGCCAACGTTGACGCCTGGGCACAGACCAGTCCAAGACCACTACATCAACCACACATCAACACCAGCACCGGTGACCCGTCACCTCCTCCAGTTGAGCCGGGGAGTCTGGACGCGGACCATGACCGTCTGATGACTGACCTACCCGAATCAACAGACGAGGACGCATCTCCATCGACCAGCGCTACGACTCCCGAACCAGCGCAGACCGATGAGCAAGTTCGTGATTCCCCACAGGTCCAACCTGCCACTACAGACTCTGAGTTACCTGACAACTCACCTGAATTGCACCGTTCAGGGCGCCAGCACAGACCACCCGCTTATTTAAATGACTACGCGTGTTCGCATCTGGGGGGAAGGGGTGTTATGTCCCTGGAACTTGCAAGAGTTCCCACCCAGGTCCGCTCATGCTGCGGGGGCGTTTGTTGTCCCTCATTGGCTGGTTTCCCCCAGCAGCCGGCTATATAAGCAGGCTGCGGGGTTCAACCAGTCGCTGATCGCTGCGAGCCAGTTCCAGGCTTGGCAAGCACGTTCAGTCCTTTATTACTCTAATAAAGTATTTGTTGCACCCATGCCCTGGTTAAGCCTCTCATTGCTCAACTACAACAGTTGGTCTGACTGGAATTGTCATGTTTCTTATTTAAAGAAAGTGATTAGGTGGAGAGGGGCAATGTGGATCTGATTGCTAAGATTTTGAAATTGTATTTTATGTTTAGTCTTTGCAACTGGCGCAGACAAAACTTGTCTGAGAAGACTTGTTCTACTTTCAAGAGCAAAAAATCTTCTTTCTCCGCTCTTTCATGAACAACAAAAGCATTCGTCTGGAGAAATTATTTATTGGTGCCTTATGCAGTTAAGACACTGGACCTGTGGACCAAAAGGTTCAAGTGACAGGATGAGCTCCAGTTCTTGCCCTAGCTCCTGCCCACATAGCCGTTTAAAAGCAGGCAAATGCAAGTAGATAAATAGGTACCCTTTTGGGGGGGAAGGTAATAGTGTTCCGTGCACTTTGGTATACATTCATACCAGCCTCACGACCACAGAAGTGTTGTCAGACAACACTGGCTCCCTCGGCTAATAAATGGAGATGGGCACCCCCCTCCAGAGTCAAACAGGACTGGAATGGGGAAACTTTTACCTTTACCTTTATGCTAATGGTAAATAGTCCTTCCCTCCAGTGGTGGGAGTCAAAGTTTTTTGCTACCGGTTCTGTGGGTGTGGCGTCGCAGGGGTGGCTTAGTGGGCCCGGCAGGGAAAGGATACTGCAAAATCTCCATTCCCTCCCCACCCCACTAACCTGCTTTCCAGCTCCATTCTCCTGTGCAGGGCAACAAAAGAAGACCCAAACAGGGGTGGGATTGAACTGGTGTTACTACTGGTTTGGTGACTTCGCACCCAACGTGCATGTGTAAAAAAAAACCTTAAGCTGTGCTGCCCGGACAGCTGAAAAGTGCTGCGCACTGGTACACAGTGTTTGAAAAGCCTCTTTTTTCCTGCTTTTTCAACCTCAGCTATGCTGTGGAAAGCAACTGAGGTTGAAAAAGCAAAGGACAGGTAAGAGCCCGGGCAGGCGGATGGGCCAAACAGCAGCAAACACCGAACTGGTTCGGTGTCTGCTGCTCTTCAGAACTACCTGGTTCTTTAGAACCAGACAGAACCAGTAGCATCCCACCCCTGGATCCAGTCGATCAGCTGGGACTCAGGAGGCAGAGAATAGATGGGGGGGGGCAGACAGAGGTGGTATTTGCCGGTTCTCAAAATTTCCGCTACCGGTTCTCCAGAACTGGTCAGAACCTGCTAAATACTACCTCTGCCTCCCTCCCTCCCTCCCACTCTCTGTCCCTCCCTCCCCCCTCCCTTCCTTCCTTCTTTCATCCCTTCCTTCCTTCCTCCTTCCTTCCCTTCCTTCCTCCCTCCCTCTCTCCCTTCCTTCCTTTGTGGAAGGACAGAATATCCTGCAAGAATTCTGAATGGAATGTTTGCTTCAATTCCATGAACTTAAGCAAGGGTCACATTCTCATCAATACCCAAGCAATTTTTTACAGAGTTCACTAGCCATGGGAAAGTAACCATCCAATATTCCTTTGTTCTTGTACTATGTGATATGCCATAATTTTCCAAAGTCAGGCGGAATCAAACACTTGAAAGGAGAGGAAAGCCTTCATTCCTTGAGGATAAAAATGCTCCCTTACAAGAGATATAAAATAAAAACCCCAATCTGTGATTCATACATCCAATCCAAAGCATCATTGTATTACTGAAGGCAATGTATTGTGCAAACCTCTAATCGAAGAGTAAAAAGGCACCTTCAAAAGTCCTTGGTAGATTTACAACCCCACTCAGTTGCAAGTGTGCCCAGGTACATACACACACTCTCCCTTCTCATTTCATGATCTCTAGAGTCCCTCGGAACATGCTGCATTTTTCATTTTGCCCGTCGTTGCAAGAATGTGCTTCACACACCCTCTGCCTGAATTAAGAAGCTATATGCAGGAATTGTTTCTCGTGCCTGCTGCTATGTTACAACGACCTCAGTGCCTCTGGAGCTGCAGCAAGCATCCTGCCACTGAGAGCTCCTTGACGCAAAGCTAGTAGAGGAAGTTCCACCTGGCTCTTTTGATACACCTGGCTCTCCCCACCCACCCACCCATCTTCCTCTTTCTGCCTACTTTTTTTTTCTTTTCCTATTGCTGAACGCAGTTATGTCTGTTAGGCAGAAAGGTGGGCTAAACCCCTGAAAGACTGAATTCAGACCCAGAGCAGAACCAGCTATGTCTGTGACTCAAGTGGAAGATCGCTTTCATTCTTGCACAAACTGGTCTTCTAATATGTCAGTGAATGGGACTCAGGAACCCTTTGCAAGCCCTCTCGCAGACTACGATGAAGAAGAATTTCTACAATATCTCTGGAAAGAATATCTGCATCCCAAGGAATATGAATGGGTACTCATTGTTGGCTATATTATTGTATTTCTTGTGGCTCTCATAGGAAACATCCTAGGTGAGTAACATTTTGTCTAGTTACTTCTTGATGCAAGTTAGATATTTGCAGGGACTCGTCCAGGCAGTCGCCAGCAGTCAAAGCCCACACATTATCAAACATCCCAGGAGCACAACCCTGGGAATTAGGAACACCATTTCTCTTTTTTAGTCATTAAAGATCCATAGAAAATAGCATTTTCATTTATTCAGAAGCTGTTGGTGTGAGAAACACCTAAGGTTTTTTTTTAAGTACTGGGTTGCAATAAGACTTAATTGAATTTTGCACTACATTCATAAGTATATACGTTAGTGGCCTTATGCAGTTTTCATGAGAGCTGCAATGAAGCTATCCATCTTCTTGGGGGTAAGATGAGCATTAAAGATAGAATTAAGTCTATGACTCTATTCCATATGGAATAGTACTACTCAGCTGCTTCACACAGAGCATTAGAAAGTGTATTTCTCCATCCAGACTTTGTAGAAACTCAGTAATCAGGAAGGAATATCTTGGACTTTGCCATCCAGTAGTACATTATGTGGAATGTCTTATTAATAATAACAGCTCTTTTAAGTATATGCATAAAATATATTGAAGATAAAAAGTAATCCCTTCTACCCAAAGGCATTTGAGTATTAGTATAATTGTAATTATTACTGTTATTCTTATTGTTATCTGCTAAGCAAAGGTGCCCAGCTCTTCAACTTTCATTCAGTTCCGCACTGGCAAAACTCTTGACTATGAGCCTCTCTTGTAATTCCATTCATATTAGTACAGTTGTGAATGGCTATTTTTTTACTTGTGGCTCATTCATGCTGTTAGAATTATCAGTGAGATTTTGAATGAGAGTATATAGGCTTATGATGGTCAATACTGAGAATCACAAAAATTCTATTCATGCTCCAGTATATATTTGTTTAGATATAAAACAGAAAGAGGGTGAGCAAAATTCAGCTGTGTGGGATAGATGTGATTTTTTTTTTTTACTGGAATCTCATGATTGGAGAAGTGGTTCGAAAGATAAACATCTTGAACTGCAAATTTTGTGCCATGAACTTCTCAATAGTGCCACAACTGAACGAAGGTCTCAGTTCTTTGCCCCCAAAACATTCCTAATTATTTCAAGCTTCTTCAGGATTTTTTTATTTAGACCAAGAGGGGCCCATTTGATAGTTCCTTTTACTAAACAACTAGGAAACAGAAATCTTTGGTGAACTTTATGCCCTGCTTATAACAGGGAATATCTGAGAGTCCAAACAAATACAGCTTGCAATGTTCCTTTGATTTCCCCAGGAAAGAAAACAAAAGATGGAGAAAACAAAGGCAAAATGAATAAGGGAATAAATTGCAGTGACACGGCTTCTGAGGAAAGCAGGAACGTACCGTAGGGAAAAAATCCAGACACTAGATACATCTTAATAATATTGTACATAAAATGGGAGGTTGATGTCTAACAAAATAACCTAAACTTAGGAATATAGCTTGAGAAGTGAGAAGAAAAACAGCTTATTTTAATAATAATTCTGTACAGTAATTTAGGATAAAAATTGGACCTACAGAGGCACCATTCATTATAGATTATCTGGTGGAAAGATTATCCGGTGTTTTCAAAAGACAGCTGGCAAAATGATTTTCTAGGATGAAGAGATCTTATTTGAAAGTTACGAGTATTTTGAAAAACATATGCAAAAAGAACGTGTCTGTGTTTCAATCATCATAGCTACTTGTAGGACAAGAACCTTCGGTTTATTTTATTTCATATGAAGCAGCAAAATTCAGCCTAGTACATGAAATTTATAGTAACAATATATAAAATGTGTGTCAAAACATAAAATATCAGAGCAGTAAATTATTTTAAAAATACGAGTGATGAATTATAATCCAAAGTTTTTAAGAGTGACCCTTGATTGGTTCTTAACCTATAGGGAAGACTTAAGAAAAACCATGGATAAAAAAAAAAAACAGGAACAATATTATTCGTAAACTCTCTGGCACCAGCTCTGGAGCAAGTGTTACAGTTCTTAGAATCCCCAATTCATAGCCTACTAGTACCAGTTGAATTGCAAATACAAACAATCCACAGCCCACTGGGCTCTCTTGTCTCTGTTCTCCATAGACTTCACATCGAATAGAAGGGAGTTTGGGTAGTAGCAGGTCTGTATGGTGTATCCCTTCCAAAGACTTGGGAAGAAGGACTACATTAAGTAAAATTATCAACCTGGGAAGAAGACAGTAAAACCAAATATATTCCCAGGATTGGATACCCACATTTAATCCAGAGTTGTTCTATTATTGCCATATTCTGTATTGAAATCCGCTGGGTGGTTAGTAGTTTGTTGGCTACATCTGCAGAATTTGGAGTTCATTACATCAAACATGTAATATTGCAAGAGTTTTATTAAAAGCATCATTACACAAATATGGAAGGAGAAATATACATTAGATTTAAGCAATGAGTTTTGATAGATATTGTTGGTTGTTTTGTTCTTATTTCATTCATATTCTTATTTTGAGAAAGGGGCAAAGAAACAGCCTTGTTGAAATTAACTATACATTTTCACAGTTAAATTAAATCCCCTTTCCTTTTTTTAATGATATGGTTATTTATGTTGAGGTTAGATTAAATTCTTAATGGTGTTCTACATATTATTTTATTAATTATCTAGACACAATAAAAATAGAACACCCCACCCCATTCTTTGACCTGCTATTCCGAGAGATACTGTTTGACAACATGAAAATTCTATAAGCTTTCCTCCAAGAATTTCTATAATCCTCATCCAGATTGGAGATATTTACCACAACTGTGGCATGACTTCAAGGTTTTGATCAGCACAAAGATTGAAGTGAACAGGGGAGTTTACTTCCAAAATGCAACCACTTAAAACAAGACCTAATGACCCAGAAATAATTCAGCATCTCTTATACCATTTTTTCCTCTTTGCTTTCAAGTTTGTCATTCCTAATGTGTCCTTCCCTTTGCAAACACTATTGAATGCTTGTGCCAGGATATAATTTAATGATGTTGTTTACATGTGGATTACAAAACCATTTCCATTCAATAGTGGTGTTTCTTGAGTCCAAAGGTAGAGATAAGAAACAATATTTAACAGATCTTGAAATGGCAATCCTGTTTATATATGATCTCAATCCCCCAATGACAAACCATACCCAATGATCAGACTCCCATATACTAACCCAATACTAGATTCAAGTACACCACAATCCAACAAGAAAAATGCTGTATATCTGAATCATAAACCAATTCTATGTTCACTCAGAATCTGTGAATTTCCCCAATAAATTTCTCTTCTACTCAACAGCTAGGAAGAACTATAATTGTTCTTATTTTTAGTGGGTTCATAAAGGAAACTGAAGGAGAGTTTCTTAAGACTGAGATGCTTAAATTGCTGTAGTTTCTAAAAGAGCAGCTCACTGACGAGCAGTTATCCATCCCTTTGTGGTCCTTTAAGGGCAGAATCAAACTCCTCCTCATCTCTCTCTTACAATCTGGCCAGCAGGTTCAGTTTGCTAAGCCTCTTCTTAGAAGCAGCAGAATATCCTTCAAATCTAGTACATAGAGCCCAATGCTTATACTGCAACTTGGAGCTTTGTAATGGACAGTAGAGAGAAGTCACAACATTTTGTGATGGTTCCCCCCACCTTTGGCCAATAAATGGCAGCATTGTGGAGGACTTTGCAAAACAGGCCAAATGTTCATATCTACCTGTGTTTGGATTACAAAACACACTCAGTTCTCAGCTATATAGTCTTGCCTTAAAACTAGCCTGATAAATCTAAGGTTTATTCCACAATCTAGTCAAACCTGTTGGTTTTCCAGTTCCTAAGAGTGTTCTTCCTATCCTTTCTGGTAGTAGTCTGAGTTACTGAACAGCTGTGGGGATGTGATTTAATCAGATGAGCAATTTAATCCTGGTTTTAAAACTGAAAAGATTTTGCTGATGTTGGTCAGTGTTGCATAAGAACACTAGAGCATAACTGAGAGTCCATCTACCCTTCCCCTTCTGCATTAAATCATGTAGCAGCACTTTCTAATATGTTCTGGCTATTTACCTGAATCCTAATGTGTTCTTTAATATATCATTCATATGATTTCTTTTCTTTTGCCCTTTAAGAAATCACAACCCATTGGCCTTACATCTTCTCATTTTATATAAAGTACAGAGCAAAAAGTCAAAGTAGAGATGGTCTGTTAAGTGGCTCCATTTTCTCAAATTCTCCTAAAAAGAATCAACGCCATGCTGGAGCACTTGCTCACCTCTCTCAAGGTCTCTGCAGTTCACTCCTTCTTGGTCATTTATTGTCAAGGCAATATAAAGAATATGTAACCCTCCAGAAATGATTGAATTTCAGTTCTCATTCAGCGTGCTGGATGTGAATTATAAAGACTGGGGAGGTCCAAAAAATATAGGGGAAGAGTGATAGGGCAAGAAGTATTGGAGATTTTTTCAGAAAATATAGGAGTTGTTTGGCAGAACTGAAATTTTGAAATCTACAGGCTTTACAATGCAGTAAAAGGAAACTCACCTTGGGGTCAAGCTCTATTTTTGGTGACATTGTGGATATATTCATGTGGTTCTCTTAGTAACTGGTCAAAATTGGGAGCGTACTATCAAATTCTGTACCTGTCAACAGCGGTGTCCCCCAAGGCAGCGTTTTAGGACCAACTCTTTTCACACTCTACATAAATGACCTCTGTGATCATATTAAGAGCAACTGCGTTCTCTTCACTGATGATGTAAAGCTATTCAACACCACAGACTACTACTACCCTCCAAAAAGACCTTGACTATGTATCAGAATGGTCAAACAAATGGCAACTTCAAATCTCAACAAATAAATGCTCTGTCTTACATATTGGCAAAAAAAATCAGAAAATAAAATACGAGCTAAATAGTCAAGATCTTGTTGAGGTTCCAAACTCTGTCAAGGACCTTGGACCTACTTATCTCTAATGATGTAAGTGCTAGAGCCCACTGTAACTACATAGCCAAACAGGC